ATTAAAAAAAATAGCTGGGCGTTGTGGCAGGCACCTGTAATTCCAGCTACTTGGGAGACTGAGGCAAGAGAATCATTTAAGCCCAAGAGTTTGAGGTTGCTGTGAGTTGTGACACCACTGCACTCTACCGGTGACAAAGTGAGACTCTGTTTCAAAACCCCCCCCCCAAAACAAAAAACCAATCTGCATGGAAAAGCAAACTGTAACTAATTAATGTGTTGTAATTTTACACCAGCCTTATATATAAAAATTGTAATCATATTAATTTTTGTTGTCTTCTTCCTATATAAACAAGAACTTGACTTTTAACTTCGGAGCATAGACTTCATTTCTTTGGAGTCTATGTGTCCCAGAATGGCCATTCCTTGCTTTTTGCTTGAATAAATGTTTTAAAACTAGATTCATATCCTTTTGATTATTTCAGGTTGATATAGGAAAAAACAAAGTCAGTTTATCCTGTCACATAGTCAATTTCACTTAATACAGTACTTCACCTCTGGGTACCAAGAATTATGTGGTGGAGATTTCTCCCTCCAAGCACCAGCTAGGTGTCCTGTACTTCAGTTCACTTCTGATACTGTAGCTGGAGATAGTGTCAAGTCCTACAGATTGAGGGGTCAGTCCTATGATTTGTCCCCTACTTCCAATCACAAAGTTGAAATTGGGGTTAGAATAACGAATCTGGATATAAATCATGGGTGGCAAGATCTTCTCCTTGTGTTTAATTAATTTGCCAGAGCAGCTCACAAAATTCAGGGAAACACTGTTTACATTTACTCATTTACTATAAACAATTTTACAAAGGATAAAGGTAGGGACCAAAGATATGCCCAGGGTGAGATCCTGTGTCCTCTCTGGGCACCACCCTCTGCGAGCTTCCTCATGTTCGGCTCTCCAGAAGCTCCCCAAACTCTGTCCTTTTGGGTTCTTGTGGAGGCTTTATTATGCAGGCATGATTGATTACATTATTGGCCAGGGTGATCGCTCAACCTTCATCCCCTTTCTCCTCCCTGGAGGCCGGGGCATGTGACTGAAAGTTCCAACCTTCAAATCACATGGTAGGTTCCCCAGACTACCACCCATCTTTAGCTATCCAAGACCCCCCCAGCCCTCAGCCAACTCATTAACTTGCAAAAGATACTTATTACTTTGGAGATCCTAAGGATTCTAAGAAAAGGGGTGGGAAGCAAAAATCAAATATATATATTTTACAGTGTCACAGTTATTATGACTAAAGTGCCTGTGAACAATTTTGTACAAATTTTTCTTTTAACATTCATTTCCATTCTTTTGGGTCTATGCTTAGGGGTGAAATTGCTGAGTTATACAGTAATTCCCAGTTTAACTTTTTGAGGACCCACAAAAGTGTTTTCCGTAGTAACCACACCATTTTACATTTTTACCAACCATATAAGAGACAGCCACTTTGCTCGCATCCTTACCAGAATTTAGCGTTGTCACTATATTTTAAATTTAGCCATTCCAATTAGGTGTGTGGTGATATCTAATTGTGGTTTTTAATTTGCATTTCCCTAGTTGCTAATGATGTTGAATATCTTTTCATGTGCCTATTTGCCATCTGTACATCCACATCAATAAATGTTTCTTGGTGTCTTTTGCTGATTTAAAAAATTAGTCTGTTTAGTTTTTATGGTTGAGTTTTGATAGTTCTTTGTGTATTCTGTGTACTGGTCCTTTGTCAAACATGTGGTTCACAAATATCTCCTCTCATTCTGCAGTTTGTCTTTTCATCTCCTTAACAAAGTCTTTCTTCACAGGGCAAAAGTTTTTAAAATTTTAATGAGGTCCAATTTATCAACTTTTCCTTCTATGGACCATCGTGCTTTTGATATCAAATCTAAGATTATTTAACTAGCTCTAGATCCTTGAAATTTTCTCCTATGTTTTTTCTAGAAGTTGTATATTTCTGTCTTACCTTTAGGTCTATGATCCATTTTGAGTTAAAGAGAAAGGTCTAAAGAAATTTGTCCTAGAGATTTATGGTTCTGAATATAAATCAAAACCATACAACATGATAGTTTTTTAAATAAAAGTTTAGTTCATCAGGTCCAAGGATGAAGTGGGTGGAGAGTTGGGTTCATCCAAAGGTGGAGAGCAAGAGGGTCTTTTGTGATAAAATTGTAAGGGAATGCTCACTGGACAGAGGAATTTAAGCTGGGAACAAGGAATGAGAATAAGATGGTGTGATTGGCAGAAAATATTGGTGAGGTTAATCCTTGAGAAGTCCTAATCAGGACTGAAGAAACATTTGAATCAGTGTGTAAGAATCAGTGGCTCTGTAATGGGTTGACAAACTTCTTCTGTTTAGGTAGGTACATGAGGCTTGATGTCCATACATTCTCTGCTATGTAACTATTTGGGAGCAGACTACACCTTTCTGACCTTTTCCCCAGAGGATGGAAGGCCACAAAAAAAAAAAAAAAAAAAATCAGAGAGGAAGGTGGTTAAAATAAACATTGTTGCAGTGGTCAGTGATGAGTGATGACAATGACCGGGGCAATGACTACCCAAAGTGTTGTCTGTGAACTAGAACTAGCGTATGAGCTGTTTGTTACCAGTGAGATAAATATAGAGATTGAGAACAAATGTGTAGAAACTTTTATAGCAAATAATAGTAATATTAGGGGTGTTTTAATAATTAAAAATAAGGTTGGTATTTTGTATGACTTTTCTTTTTTTGAGACAGAGCCTCAAGCTGTCTCCCTGGGTAGAGTGCTGTGGCATCACAGCTCACAGCAACCTCTAACTCCTGGGCTTAAGTAATTCTCTTGCCTCAGCCTCCCAAGTAGCTGGGACTACAGGTGCCCACCACAATGCCTGGCTATTTTTTGGTTAAAGTTGTCATTGTTGTTTGGCGGGCCTGGACTGGATTCGAACCCACCAGCTCTGGTGTATGTGGCTGGCACCTTAGCCACTTGAGCTACTTTTCCATCTACCTTTCTCATAATTCATTTTTATTGTTTTACATAAGAACGGGTCTGTGATGGTTTAGATTTTTTTTTTTTTTTGCAGTTTTTGGCCGGGGCTGGGTTTGAACCCGCCACCTCCGGCATATGAGGCTGGCACCCTACTCCTTTGAGCCATAGGTGCCTCCTGGTTTAGATATTTTTAAAAAGTGGTCCTTCCCCATAGACAACTTGGGAAGCAGTGGTCTAAGGCACATTTTTTATCTCTCAGTACACTTGAACCTATATTTAAACTTCCATGGCACACTTAAATTATATTGATCAAAAAATATACATACTTGGGCGGTGCCTGTGGCTCAGTGGGTAAGGCACCGGACCCATATACTGACGGTGGCGGGTTCAAACCTGGCCCCAGCCAAACTGAAAAAAAAAAAAAATAGCTGGGCACTGTGGCGGGTGCCTGTAGTCCCAGCTACTTGGAAGACCGAGGCAAGAGAATCATCTAAGCCCAGGAATAGGAAGTTGCTGTGAGCTGTGATGCCATAGCATTCTGCCAACGGCGACAAGATTAGATTCTGTCTCTAATATATATATATATATATATATATTTTTTTTTTTCCTTACTGTGCTTCAAACCTCTTTCAAAATAATTAATGATCCTTAAAAATTTTCCTAGCATACCTATGATCCTCTCATGGCACACCAGTAGAAAATTACTGGTCTAAGGTGTGACTGTAGGAGTGGGTGACTGAGATGGGATGGAAGTCAAAATCACTGGAGATAAAGGCCAAGGGCTTTTTTTTTTTTTTTTGGCCAGGGCTGAGTTTGAACCCACCAAGTCCAGCATATGGGGCTGGCGCCCTACACCTTTAGCCACAGGTGCCACCCAAGGCCAAGGGTTTTTGGAACCATCATCCAGTCAATGTTGAAGTCATTAGGGAGGAGCTGACAGCAGTGGGAGCCCTATTGATGTTCAGAACCCTGGGGAAGCAGGTGCTAAGGAGGAAAGAGGGAGACAGAGCTGAGAAATTAGCTATTTTTCAAAGAGGCATCACTTGCTATATGAAACTAACCTCCTCTGCTTGGCCCCTGGTTAAAAGATATTGATTGGCTTTTATATGTGATTTTACATTTGGGTCTCTCCAATTTTAGACTGAGCTCCTGCACCAAGCCCCACAGACCAATCATGGTGGAGTCACCTGTGCTGAAGTACCCCATCACAAAGCAGACCCTACATTGTTTATCTGACTTTCCACATATAAGGAGAGTGAAAGGTAAGAGCCACATTCCCAAAGAGGTCAGTGTAAGCTGGCATCATAAGGAAGATCCCTCTGCTTTAAGTTTTACAAGAAAAGTAACTTCGAAATGATTGATCTGTTTCTGCTTTTCTCAGCCTTTTTTTGTAAATAAAACCAACCTCCTCTGCTCGGGCCATGAGAATACTCATTCTGTTTTATAGGATGAGGAGAGGCCCAATTTTAAAATCACGTATAAAAGCCAATCAGTACCTTTAAGCTAAACTTGTTACCATTTTGTCTTTTGACACTGCCCATGAATGGTCAAGTTAGCATGTGTCTTGCAGAGCCTTGGGCCCATCATCACTAAGGCCAGACTCCTGCACTTTCTCTGGGCTGCACTGCTCCCAAGAGAGTGGACCACGTGCTTGACCCTGGGGGTTTGCTGAAGAGAAACCCAATGTGCAGAAGCCCCAGCTGCCTCCCGATGGCAGACTGACAGAGCAAGGCCTCAGAGGCTACTCTCCTGTGAGAGATCGCCCAGAGTCTTTAGGAATATGAAGCCTTCCCAATTCCACTTTCAGGAGAAGGAATGGTGTCAGAGCGATGCAGTGGGACATCTGGCTCTGCATATATGAGGGCAGCCTTGGGCTACAATTTCTGATTTGGAGGTAACATCCATAGCATATGGCCACTGTCACTCCAAATGGGCCATATGCACTGTAAGACAGTGGGGGAGGCACCTGCGCTACAGTCCTTCCCCAGGGAGAGCAGAAGGAGCAGGGCCTGAATGAATCCCTGGAGTGCCTGTGGTTGTGGGAATCACTGAAATTCACAAAACCTGGTCAGACATTTATTAGGGCAGTGGAGCCAGTTCTCCATGCTGCGGGCTTTTCAGACTGACAGGATTTCAATGTGGAACTCTGGCTGCTTTGAAGTGATTCCATATTGTACCCGTAAAAAGCCATCATCCTGGAAGGCAAGGTTGCTCTCTTGGACCTGGAACAGGCAGAGAGTATTGCAAATTTGGCAATAACAGTGGCGACACTGCCACATACGCATCCAGGACTGGAGCTTGACTGCTGCGTGCTCCTGCACAGTGTAGATCCTCAACATGGTCTGGCGCCGCTTGGTTATCTGTCTCTGCAGCACTGTCCTCCACCAGCACTGAATCGTCCAAGCCCTGAGGGCAGCGACCAGCAGGATCCTACGCACTAGGATTCCACGCCACCACGCCTGGATCTGCCGAGCTGCCCGGACCCTCTTTATGTGACGCTTTGCAAGAAGCAACTAATCAAGCAAAGCAGAAGATTCCCAATGAATGTGTCACTGTTGAACACATGTGAACAATCTGTCATTCCCCTGGTGGTTCAGAGGACCCAGGACATCTGGGTGGGGTTTAGCCTCTTCTTCAGTCTTGTCCATGACTATGGGCATTTCTGCCCACCCTGAGAGTCACAGTGTCCTAGTCTATAAAATAGGGATGTGCTTGCCCTGTGGACCTCATGGGTTCATGGAACCAGGAGAAACTCTTTCTGATCCAGAAGATCTGACATGGACTTGAGGAACCAGAGGATACTCATGAGGATGAAGACATTTCTGGCCTTCATCTGGGTCCAAATTTCAGCCCATAACACCACCTCCCACTGCCTTGGAAAATGCTACAGGCTTTCAGGGTCTTCCCTTCCTCTGGCCCTTCCATTGACTTCCACCACTACCTTTCAGTCCCTCAATGTCCTTCTGAGCCTGGCTGACCCAATGCCTTCTCATTTCTCAGGGCGGGACCCCCACGTCGAACGTGGCTGTGCCCAGGCTACTTCCTCCCCCTCCTGTCTATCTCCATACTTAATACAGTTCACTCAGGAGAGAAAGGGATTTAGGATTCGAGAGTGCAATGCTGCACCAATTCCCTTGGGACCAGAGATGGAGCCTTCATTTCTGGGGACTCAAGTGTCAGTGGGTCAGTGATCTGTTGTACTCTTGCACTCCTGGGCCACCTACCTTCTGCTGCCTCTTTTTATCTCTTGCGTTCTGGTCTGGGAGAAGCTTCTGCAATCAGAATGTGGGGTGGAGGAGCACGGGTGAGGACCAGCCTCTGGGCAAAGTCCCCACTGCTCCAGCTCCCCATTCTTTGCCTGGGTCTTATGAAGTCCTCTGGCACTTCCCTCTGCCACAGGACAACTCCCCACCCCTGGAAGAGTATGTCTGCTTATGTCTTACACAAAATTTATTGCCCATGGTTTGGGGCAGTGGTTCAGGTCATCATCCCCCTCTGTTGCTACTCCCTGGCCTTGGCAAGGGCTGGAGGGGTGGAGGAGATAGCCATGATGTCACAAGGGCAACTGTGATCCAGGGATGGACTACAGTCTACAGTGGAGCCTCTACTCTATGAGTCTGTCCTGCCACCAGGATGACTTCTGGTTTGGCCCACATCCAGGGACAGAGCAAATGGTGCCAGGCAGAGGGGGTCACATGGGTCTTCCTACCACACTGGGTCAGGCTGGCTCCAGTGCCCTCTTACCTTTTCTGACAGCAGCCCTTTCTCAGTGGGTGGGTGAGGCCTTCTTTCAATGGGTATCAGAGTGGGTGGGAAGGGTGAGAAGAAGGGTCAAGGAAGGGTCTGGATGGAGGTACATCAGCCAGTTGCTGCTTTCTCCCTCCTGTGGCTGTCCGCTCTGTCTTCTGTGACTATTTAGTGGTGCTTGGCTTACCACTATACGTTCCTTAAAACAAGCTTATCCATCCTGTGTCTGAAACCTCAAGGGCTGGAGGGCATTTTCCTAACATATCCTGGAGCTCTGGAGATACAGCCCCTCCTAGCGCAGCCTTCTCTGGTGGTAGCAGTGGCCACATGTGAACAAGTCTGTCATTCAGGCTTGCTTCTAACACCGGGGTCTTAGTCACGCCACTGCCATTTCTCACCACATTTCACAGCTAGCACTGACTCTTCCTTTAAGGTGTACCTCTCAACTGCCACCCCAGAAGCATAGGATGCAGACAAAGGTCAGATCATGATATGGCATTTTCATTATTCTGACTATGTGAGTGCTGTTGTCGGCCCCATCATGTAGCATTCTAACTCCCTCTCCTTTTCTCACACCACATCACAAAAGAACTGAGAATGTAGAGGTATAAGCAAAATTGACAGATCAGGTAATGACTCCGTAGGCACCCAGGGTCCAGCACATCCTCCATTTTTCTTCTGTCTTCTCCATCTGTGAATTAAATCTGTGTTGGGTCCTCCATTGATTCTCTGTAGGAAACAACACTGTGACTAGCAGCTTCCTGCCATCTCTGTGTGGCCATGGGAGGTGTCCTCTAGGCCCTACACACAGGGGTGGACTTGCTGAGTCCTGGGACATGTGGTCACTGCATGTCACTAAACCCTGAAAGCACTGCATGTCACTAAACCCTCTCCACTATGGCAGCACCAATGTAACTTCTGTCCATCACTTGTAATTTTTGCTAAACTCAAAGGTCAAAAGTGGTGCTGCAACATGAACCCGTGTTCCTTGGGCTTTGCTCGGATTCATGTAGGCACCGTCCTTAGAATGGTGCCTGGTCCTAGGACCTGCTGTGTTTTTTATTCCCTTTATTATTATGTCCTGGCCATTGCGGGGGGCAGGGGAGGACGGTCTCTGTGTAAACTACTCAATCCTGCCATGGGCTTAATTTCTATGGCATCCCCATTATTCCCTTATATGACTTCCTTGGATAATCCTCTGTTGGATAAAAATTTTGCAGACATCCTTTCCTGGACTGTCATTCTGAGAGAGGATACCCAAGAAGGGTGAGGTCTAGGAGAACAGGTCTTCTTAAGGAGACCACAAGGATACACCTGCAAGGTCCTCTCCATGGTGACTCAGCTCTCGGGAATTTGTAACTTGGAAATTTCCAAGTTCTATGAAATCCTGTAGTTCTGTAGGGACTGGAATAGCATCTCCCACTTGATTCAAACTGGCCAATGAGAGGGGTACCTGTGGGGTGGAACTTTTTGACTGTCAATAAAAAGGGAAAGATCAAGCCAGTCAGGGAGCAGGGCCATTTGGAATTCTTCTATGCCATAAGCTCCCGGCTGGTGAATAAAGCCCTTCCTCTTATAAACGTGGTGTTTGGGTGCTCTTTCTCTCTGTTGGGCCTTGTCTTCCTGCAATAATTTGCCTGTTATTTTTTCATGGTTGTATTTCATTGCACAGCTATTTTGAATTTTGGCATGGTCACATCTGTCACAAACCAGTGCAGCAAAGAAGAGCGAACCAGAGTGGAATTGGTGGGGAATGAGGAAAATACAGCATAAGAGAAGACATGGAAACAAAGGATGGGATCAGGAGGTCTGACTGAGCTGATGGCTACAGCCAGCATCAAAGCATAAAATCAGCTTTATTTTATAGTATCTGTATAGGGTCATCCAGAGGGAAGTAGCATAGACAATATGGGGAAATAGCATAAACGAAAGACATAATTTTGGTCTTACAGTACAATTGGAAAATATAAATGATTTTAATAAAGACAAATCATCTTGTTGATGGTTTCTACTCAACTTCATTGACATATGAAGTAAGAAGGGCAAGATCTAGGATCTCAGCATAGTTGACAAAAATAAAAGAAGAATTATATGAGTTAGTAGATTCTACTTAA